ATTTTGGTAACAGAGGAAAGAATTTCTGTTCACTCCGCAGCTGCATGAGGGCAGAGTTGGACACAGTACTATTAGGAAAAAATTTTAATTACATAAAATAATGAAATGATCCAAAGAATCTTACTTGGTATGACCTTGTTGTTTAGAATAGAAAGAGATAGGGATAAGACAAAAACTTCTAAGTGTGTCAGAATTCCTTGGAACATAGAACCAAGGCACCCTATCAGAATAGGAGGTAAGAAACTCTTAGTGGAAATGTATATTATCTTTCTGTCATTAAAGGTTTGGGGTCCTTGACAAAACTGTGCCTGCCTGATGGTCTTTCACAAACACCCACTGGCAAACAGATTATGTTCCAAAAAGACTTCTCCAAAAAGCCACTGAACACTGGCAAACTTAAGAATCCACATGCTTTTGCAAACTTCAAATACCAATTACCTCAACAATAACAATAAGCATATTTTTTGCTTTATTCCCTTGTACTGGGTTGAACAGTGTCCCTCCAAAATTCATGTCCACCGGGTACTTCAGAATGTGCCCTTATTTGCAAATGTTATTAGTTAAGAAGTTATACTGGAAAAAAAGGTGGGTGGGGGCGCCTGGGTGGCTCAATCGCTAAGCATCTGCCTTCAGCTCAGGTCATAATCCCAGGGCCCTGGGATCAAGATCAAGTCCTTCATCGGGCTCCCTGCTCAGTGGGGAGTCTGCTTCTCCCTCTCCCGCTCCCCCTGCTTGTGTTCTCTCTCTCTCTGTCAAATAAATAAATTAAATCTTAAAAAAAGAAAAAAAAAGATAAGGTTACACTGGCTTAGGATGGGTCCTAAATCCAATGACTAGTGTCTTTATAGAAAAGAAAGGAGAAGGAGATTCAGACTCAGACATACACACAGAGAAGCTGATCATGTGAAGATGGACACAGAGATTGGACTCAAGCTGCTTACAAGTCAGGGAAAACCAGAGACCATCAGAAGCTGGAACAGCCAAGGAACAATTCTCCCCTAGAGCATTCAGATGGAGCATGGATGGTCCTGCTGATGCCTTGATTTTGGACTTCTGGCCTCTAGAGCTGTGAGAGAATAAATTTCTGTTGTTTCAAGCTACCTGGCTTGTGGTCACTTATCACAGCATCCCTAGGAAACTCATACATCTTCCTCTCTCAATTTTTTTTATCATAAACTAACAATTCACAGATTTGTACACTTACACCTAGGTCATGATTGTCCCTGCATTTGTTTGAGACACAAACTTATTACAAATATACTTTGTTTCCTCTTACATGATTGATGTTAAATAATTCCATATAGTTACTTAGTCTTAAGGCTATTTTACTTGATGAATATGCAAGTGCTCTTGAGAAAGTTAAGTAAGTTTTATTATCTATAGCTAAGTATATGTATGTTTTACTTTAGTTTTTACTTTTGGAGGGTAAAAAAAGGAGCAGGGGGTAGGGGTTGGGGTGGGGGTAGTTCCCTTCTTGACTTGTCCAAGGATACTGAGCTCAGTGTGAGAAAAACAGGAGGTTATTAGAGCTCTTATGAGCAATTTTCCTATACTTATTCTTCCAAGTCTACCCATTTAAGATGTTGCTTGTTGAAACATGAGTAGAACATAGCTCTCCAAAAACAACTTGCAATTCAACAAATTAAAAATTAAAACAAAAGGAGAGAGGTGATGGGTAGAATGTGTAATGAGCTGGAAATTTGGTAAATCTCCATCACTTTTCTTCCTGCCCATTCTTGTTCCTGGCACTGTGCTTTATATACCCACCCCAGGCACAGGCTGATGTCCACACGGAAAAGCCAGTAAACCATCTCTGACAGAGGTTATCCAAAGGGCAGCTGGCTCATAATGCAATGCTGCCTATGAAAACATTTGAGCCAAAGCTAGTGGTGTAGACAGATGATTATAAAATCATGCTGATATGCTCATGGGACTACAGTAGGATAATAGATAGTATCTACCTGTCTTGCCCTCCTTATCCTCATCCTTAATGGGGAGATCTCTTTTAGCATAACAATATATTCAACTTACAAGAGACAACCAAATTGAGCAAGAAAATGGTATCATTGTCTCACAGGTAATCCACTCTGAAAAAGGTCAGAGTTCAAAGCACAACCTGACTTGCTGATGTGGTGTCAAGGGGCCACAGCTTGAATGGACTGGGCAGCTAAAGCACAGGAAGTGATAGTTAAGTGGAACAGAGATGAAGAGAAGGAAAGAAGGGAAGAACCAAGGGAGAGGAGACTTCTGGGAAATAACTTATTCCCCCCCTCACTGCAATCCTGATTTCTTATGGAAACTAAGATGTGTGTGGCCATGCTCTGTCAGCCATAACTGACCAGTTCAGGAATGGGCACCCAACACATCAATCTTTCCTTGGGACTTTAAAACTATGAAAAAGAACTTAAAACCTTCTGGAAGCTGGACATTGTGAAAGAAGTCATTGTGTAGTGAGATCCAATAAAGTTGGTGCACAAAAAAGTTCCAAAGACAAGATGGTCTCAGCAGGGTTTGAATACTTAAGTTGTTTCTGAACCAGCTGCATCTCTGCCATTCTCTGGCTTACTTGTTCAATCTTTCTTCTTATTTCATGAGTCAATTCCTTTCTATTTCCAAAACTAGTACAAGTTGGGTTTCTGTTATTTGCAACCAAGATTCCTGATTAAGAATCAAACACAAGTAAATATATATCATCAATTCATCAATTCTATGTGTGCATTTTTACATGTGGTATCTGAAATTATCTTCTTTTTTCTCTTAGGAACTTTTTGCTACATAAAACTATTTTGTTTTCATTTTACTCTTTCATTTTATTTATGGTTCTTAATTGGATCTGGGTACATTAATAACAAAGTTCCTTCTATCAATGTCCTCGAAAAGCAAGATGGGAAATATAATCACACCCTATAAAACACACAAGTGCCTCTCTCCTTTGCTTACTGATTCCTGATATATTCCACAGAGGTATTTAGTATTAAGGCTGGCTTATTTTGAGAGTTTTTTTTTTTTTTTAAGACTTGTTTATGTGTGACCAGGAAAGTCCCAAGGAAGGGGGATATTAATTCTCTAAGTCATAGCTCCAGTTTTAACGTTTTTTGATATTCTTTCAGGGAATATCACCTCTATGACTTCCAGCCATACAAACGAGTATGGCACCAGCACGGTAAAGCAGTCAACTACTCCATGTTCATCAGTCTCAAGGACTGGGATAATCACGGTCTTGACACCCATAGCAACATTTAACATGGCAACACTGGGGGTCTCAACAAAAAGGACTTCCCTCACCTCAGTTTCACAAAACATACCCCAGAAGCCATTGACGATGAGCACGATCACAACCCTCAACAGTTTAGTGACATCTGCTGCTTCATCAATAACAAGTATGTATCACCTTTATTTTTTTAAGAATGAAGGGGGGGAAATCAGAAGGGGAGATGAACCATGAGAGACTATGGACTCTGAGAAACAAACAGAATTCTAGAGGGGAGGGGGTGGGGGGATGGGTTAGCCTGGTGATGGGTATTAAAGAGGGCACGTTGTGCATGGAGCACTGGGTGTGATACCTAAACAGTGAATCATGGAACACTACATCAGAAACTAATGATGTCATGTATGGTGATTAACATAACATAATAATAAAATAACAAGTATGTATCAGAACTGACCCATGTTTCCTATGCTGAACATAGTTGTGAAATGCTACAGGTATTTCATTGTGCCATTCTGCAAAAATAGAAATGTAGATGATGACGTCATGTTAAATAAGTTAGTGGTATAGATCCTGGTATTCTTGTTCCTGTAGAAAATGAGTTTCCAACTTAATCAGGCTGAATAATGACTGTGAATAAGTGAGGTGTCCTACCAGGGAATTGTCCTTCAACGTGGTTTGAAGTTGTGTCACGCCTTTAATTCCTGGGCCCTCATTAGAGAATAGAATTAGGCAGCATCAGTCTACATGATTTCTAAACCAAATGGCTAACTTTGGGTTTCATTCACTTGTGCCATAAAGATATTTTCAATTGGTATTCGAATCCACATGTGCAGTATCAGTGTCATTGCTCTTCATTTGTTTTGCATTTGTTCAAAATAGAATGCCCGTGAAACCATAGATTCAGAACCTCACAATTTTCTTAACTTATTCAAAGTGCAGTTCAACTTAAAAGCTAGTGATTACATTTATCAGAAGAGCGGACTTTCTGGGTTTTTTTCTGTGTGTTTTTATGTGTTTCTACTCTATAGTTTTATTACGACAATGTATGTTTTGAAATCAACTGTAACGTCTTAAGAGCTCTTGATGTGATAACACCAAAGCAGGTTCAATTGCCAGTTTATTCAAAAGGAGAAATTTCAGTGAGAACGGTTTACTCAGATTGGATCTGGTTGCGAGATTACAGCTGTGTTGCCCAGACTTATTGCTAAGGCATGAACTCTTAAGAGGACTAATAAGGAAAAAAAAATTCCCCAAATCGTGCTGCCTCTGAGGTTGTGGTAGAGGATCCAACTCCAGCAACACAAACACATTCAGATCCTGGGTTGAAGCCCCAGGGCCAGGCGGGAGGGACCCACTGGAGGAAGGAGAGCCAGAAGTCATAGACACAAAGCTGGCTGGGGAGCATTTCTACCCAGAGACTCTCTCCTCCTCCATTCAGCATTCTTATGTAGAAATTCAGAGTCTTAGCTTATTTTAATGTTATTTAGAAAACATGTTTTTGTTTTGTTTTGTTTTCATCTAGTCACAGCAACTATTAATTCTCAAGAAAATATATAGTTTCAAAATTTGATATTGGCAGCTTTGTTGGTATTGTATTAATACTGGGAGTTTTGTCGATTCTTGACATTGGAGACAAAATGTATTATTCAAGAAGAACTATGTGAGTTTTGATTGGTCAGGACATTGTTATTTCTGTATTTCCTTGAATGTCATGACAAAATCCCAGAATGGGGCCATAGACTTATGAGTTGCATTCCTATTACTCCTCTATGCCCAAAGTAAATTGTTGAAAAACGTGGAACACCTCACGAATTTGCGTGTCATCCTTGTGTGGGGGGGCCATGCTCATCTGCTCTGTATCATTCTGATTTTTGTATATGTGCTGCTGAAGTGAGCACTATTAAGACTGTTTTACTTGATGAATATGCAAGTGCCCTTGAGAGACTTAAAATATTATGATTTATAGTCATCGATTTCTGAATGTGAAGTAATTAGGCTCTTTTGCCAAACACCTCAAGAATATAAACACAAACAAAGCAGAAAATTGCCTTTGAGAAAGTTTGTAACAGCATTCTTGTGTCTATTGTTCTTTGAATTTTTAATAGATTATTCATGAACTCTAAGGTAGCTGTTAGTCCTATATTAACAAATATTAACATTCAGTTAACTGAGATATTCAATAAACTAGGGGTCACCTAGCTCCTCTAAGAAATATTAAATTAATACCTATATGGCCAGCAAGGAGTAGTGAGAGATCTGGAGGTCAGAAGATTGAGTTCCCTTCTTGGTTGTGCCACGGAACAGCCATGTGACATGACTGTGAGCGAGTCACAGCACACCAGCTTTCTCCCGATCAGACTCTAATGCTCTAGTCTGTGTGTAGACTAGATGAAAATAATAATGAATTTATATTTATATCTATGTCTATTCATTTAATCCTCAAAACAACCTGATGAACTTAGGTAATAGAATTGTCACATATTTTATAAATGCAGAAAATAATGCCCATGTAAGTTAAGAAAACTGCCCAAGTGTCAGAGCCTGGATTTGACTACTGGTGACCCGGATCAGGAATCGGTGCTCCTAACCACCACACTGATATATTCGTATCTTTAATGGCAGGGGAGTAAATGAGACAGGGTCAGTGCTCTACCAAGATCACTTCAGGGTCACTTAACCTTTTCTGTGTACCTGCCACTCAGGTTCTGGGGGCCTTATTTCTCATCACTTGCACCTATGACTTTCCTCAAAGGCCTGATCTTGGGCTCACTTTGCAGGGAGGAAGAAATGCCCGAAAATGTACATTACTCTGAGGAAGGTGGTATGAATGTCCAGTAGCTTTGAATCAGATGGGACGACCAACTCTAAACAAAATTTATGTTTTTCCTGGGTGCTATGGACTGAATATTTGAATCCTCCTCAAATTCATATTACGGATACTCTAACCCCCAAGGTGATGATTTTGCAAGGTGGGGCCTTTGGAGGACAATTAAGTTATGGGAGCAGATCTCTCATGAATGGGATCAGTGTCCTTATAAAAGAGACCCCATAGAGTTCCCTTGCCCCTCTCACCATGTAAGGACCCAAGATGAGAAGATGGTCATCCATGTGGAAGTGGATCTCACCAGACACCGAATCTGCTGGCACCTTGATCTTGGACTCCAGAGCTGTGAGAAATAAGTTTCTGTTGTTTATAAGCCACCGAGGCTATAGTATTCTGTTAGAGCACCCCAAGTGGACTAAGACCATGGGATGAGGTTAACGCTGGAAATACAATGCAGTAACACCCTTTTTTGGCCTTTCCCTGTCCTCAGCCTTACTCCCCCACCTTGTGTTCTCTCCCGGCACTTCCTTAATCAGTCACAAGCACATAAATCCTCGTCTCAAGGGACTACGTCTGAGAGCCCAATGCAGCATAATGGGAGAGCATTTTTTGGACCCCATTGTTGGGGGTTTGACTCCAACGTTGGGGGTTTAAATCTTGCTCCATTATTTTCTTATTTATTTATTGACTTATTTATTTCTATTGAAGTATATTTGACATCTAACATTGTGTAAATTTCAGGTGTACAACACATGGATTTGATACTTTTAAATATTGTAATATGATTGTCATTATGAACATGCTTTTCTACCAGGCTCCTGAAATTTTTAGCCACACCATTTGGCTAAGCATGATTCCCACTTCCCTTGAGGGGCCTAAACCCATCGATCTGATCCCATCCTTGAAATGAACTTAAGTTGGTCAAATCACAGGGACTTTTACATAGTGGCTGACAGAAGAGCTATCCATCTGAAGCATGAAAGAGAAACTGCTACTTCAGGAGTTTGGGCTGCTATTTTTCTACCATAAGCGAAAAGAGCCTGAGGATGAGGACCACACGACGTTAAGGACAAACCTCAAAATGAAGCTGTAGCTCTTGAAACATAACTCTCTGGACTAAGGGATTTGCTTAAAATAAACCCAAGCAACATTCAGTTGAAAGAAAAACAAGTTCGATGCTGGACTCATTTGGGACAATTGTTATTATCAAGGACAACTGTTTTCTTCAGCCACTTTTTGTCTTTCCCCTCTTTAGACCAGGAACACTGAGATCTGGATGAAGTCAGAAGCTCTGTTAATTCAGACTTCTGAAAAACACAAAAAGAAGTTCCCCAAATAATTAGTAGTTGAGTTATAGAATGTGTTTGAAAACCACATTTTTTTCATGAGAACACTGAATATTTAGAACATGCTGAAGCAGTATGATTCATCCTAATTTATCTTCCTCATCTTCAAAATGTTTTTCAAGTTACCGTGTAGGCACAGCATCCACTCTGGTCCACACTTCCATACATCCCACCTGGATTACACCAGGAGCCACCTACTTGTCTTCTTAGATGCTTAGGAGGCTGCTTTCTGGACAATGCTTCCTCTCCCAACTAATCTTCCCAAGTCACTTTTCATCTTGTTAATCTAACTGATAATTGGCAATGGCTCCACACCACCCATCCTATAGCTGATGAAGTCCACACTTCTATTTCTGACATTCAGGGTCTTATGTGGTTTGCTGCACATGAACTACACGGTCCCATATGCATGAATGCCCAACCACAGGAATCCCTTCCTACATGACACACCATGTCCTTCTTCCTTCCATGGTTTCGTTCAGGGTTTATTCCATCCAATATGTCCTCCTAGCCACTCTTGGAAGTCCAGGTTTTGGGGCACCTGGGTGGCTCAGTTGGTTAAGCATCTGCCTTCAGCTCAGGCCATGATCCCAGGGTCCTGGGATTGAGTCCCACATCAGGCTCCCTGCTCAGCAGGGAGTCTGCTTTTCCCTCTCCCCCTCCCCCTTGTGCTGGTGCTCTCTCTCTCTCTCTCTCTCTCTAATAAATAAATAAAGTTTAAAAAAAAGAAATTCCAGTTTTTTTTTCCCCTGGATGCCTTTTCTGATTATTTTGGCACACATTGGCCTTGTTCCTCTAAGCTTCTTTCAGGAGGCAGAGCTATGTGGTAGCATAAGCCAAAGACTTGGTTTGGAATTCAACATCTGGCACTCAATAGCTGTGTGACCTGAGACAGATTGCTGAACTGCTGAATAAGAAAACTCAGTTTTCTTATTTATGGAATGAAAATACAAATCAACTTTTTTTTAGTTCACTGTAAAAAGTAAAGGAGAAAACGTGTCTAGCATATCATAATTTGTATCAAGCAATTGAAAACTATACTCAGTTCTGTGCCACTGAGCACTATATCTTTTTTTAATTGGATGAAATTATTGCATACATGAGTTTTTCTCCTTCGTTGGAGTAGCAACTCACTGTTCTGCCACTTGTTGACAATTCATTATGTGGAAGAGACTTCTTCAAGGCCTTTATTATTTGTTGTAGTTATCTGTTGTAATTAAAATATAATGTCAAAATAAATCTTGCTATTTTTTAGTATGCTATTGCTTACATCTTTATAGGTAGGAGCTGTTTTTAAATGGTAAATTGAATTGATTTTCAGGTTAATCTGCATTTGAAACCCTGGCAATTCATAGAATTGAAAATTCATATAAAGTAGATATGATTTTACTGTTTCACACTGCAGAATATGGTTCAGAGAACTTTCCCCCACAGTTTTATTAGTCAACACATGCCTTTCAATGCAGCAATATGTATATCAAAGGTGTGAGTATATATGGATTTCTGTCCGTCTGATTTAGAGCGGAGAGACACACGTGGATCAAGATGTTTTACGGAGCATAAGAATGCAGGAAGGGAGAACTTCTCATAGGAACATAGTTCGACACCCCAGGACAACAAGGGAGACAGACTTACGCAATAAAATACATAGACACTACAACTTTATTTTATGTGACCCATCTCTTATCCTGGAGAAGTGAATTAAAGGTTAACAGAGGAAAGAATCAGAAGCAGCACTCAACTGAGCAAGGATAAGTAAACATTAAATTACCAAAACAATGACGAAAATCATTGCAAGTAAAGGGCTAGATCCTTTAAAGTGGTGAGAAGGAAGCCAAGACTACTGAGTCAAGGGATGAGAGGTCAGAGTAAAACCTACCTGGCTGGTGCCTTGATCTTAGACTTCTCAGCCTCCAGAACTATGGGTCACAAACTTCTGCAGTCTAAGGCATCTAGTCTATGGAATTTTGTTAGAGCCACCCAAGCAGACTAACATGGAGAGTTCTTAAATGGCATAAAGCTGAAAATAATTGAAGGTTGCTCTTTATGCAATTATATTAAATTTAGACAATGGACTACCACACAGTCATAAAATAATAAGATAGTTCTATACATACAGTAGTGGAACATTTCCAGGACATACCATTAAATGTAAAAAGCAAGAGTCAAAATATATAAGTAATCCCATTGAGGTCTACAAATAAAAGCAAGAAAAACTACGTGTGTGTGTGTGTGTGTGTGTGTGTGTGTGTGTGTGTGTGTGTGTATGTGTATGTGTGTATGTATGTATAAAGAGAGAGGGATGAAAATATACACAGAAGTAGACCCAAAGAGATATAATGGCATACATATAGAAAATTTCAGAAAAATATAAGAAAATATTAACTTGGTTTATAGGAAGTAGAATGTGAATGGTAGAAGTTAGAACTTTTTGCTTTTCACTTCATGTCCTTCTGCATTTGAATTTTTCAGTGAACAAGTATTAATTTTATAACATGTGTTTTATTTATTTTTTTTTAAAGATTTTATTTGTCAGAGAGAGAGAGAAAGCACGAGCAGGGGGAGTGGCAGGCAGAGGGAGAAGCAGGCCTCCTGCTGAGCAAGTAGCCCGATGCAGGACTCGATCCCAGGACCCTGAGATCATGACCTGAGCTGAAGGCAGAGGCTTAACCAACTGAGCCACCCAGGTGTCCCAATATAACATGTGTTTTAAATTCTGGTTTCGTCA